GAATTATTCTATAACATAACAAATATATACTTTATATTTACATTTATTAATATTATATCATATAATTTATATTAAAAGCACTCAATTATTTTAATTTAAATATGTTTTTTGATTCATTAAAATGAACAGTCGCTCCAGAAGTTGAGTCACGCAAACCTCATAAAACTAAAAGAAGTTATTCGTGAAGACAACACATTATATTTTGTATTTGAATACATGAAAGAAAACTTATATCAATTGATAAAAGACAGGTATTTCTTAGAAAAAATGCAACAATTTTTTATTGATTAATAATCTTATTTTTCCAGAGAAAAACCATTTGGAGAACCTATTATTAGGAATATTCTGTACCAAATATTACAGGGACTCTCTTTTATGCACAAACACGGCTTTTTTCATAGAGATATAAAGCCTGAGAATCTGTTATGTATGGGTCCGGAGCTGATCAAGATTGCAGACTTCGGTTTGGCCCGAGAAATACGTTCCCGACCTCCGTATACAGACTATGTGTCGACGCGTTGGTATAGAGCGCCCGAAGTATTGCTTCGGTCAACCAATTATAGCTCTCCAATCGATATATGGGCCGTCGGTTGCATTATGGCTGAGTTGTATACATTGCAGCCTCTCTTCCCCGGCAGGAGTGAAATCGATCAGATATTTCGATGCAGTTCTGTGTTGGGCACTCCCGACAGGGTATTCACACTTTTGTTCATTTTAACGTTATATTAATTACATCCCATTTACTCTTGACCTTCTCTCTCTCTCTCTCTCTCTCTCTCTCTCTTCCGTTTAATTATAGTTTTAGTATTTATTTATGATTTATAAATGAATAAATGAGATATAAAAGGAAACATTCCGTCAGTTAGACTTCACGTGATATTCAAAAATTAATCCAAAATTATTGTCATTGAAATTGTTGTCAAAGAATAGCTAGACTTTGGTTTTTAATTTGTTTTTATTTATTAAATTAATTTTACGATAACATACTGTGGTTTGAAAGGATATGATTGGTATGAACACTGGGTGTGGATATTATTTATAATTAAAATATTAATTAAAGAATTAATAAGAAATTAAATGTCTAGAGACCTGGCATTACAAGCGATGTCATTGAGAATTACTTGTTTATATTTTTATTTTCATACAACCCTTTGCTAACTATAAATCTATTAATAAATAAAAGTTAAAAATAAAGTTTTTACCATAAAAATGAAAGGAATAAAGAAATACCTGAAATTGGAAATGGCATAAAAAACTTTTTATTGTTTAATGCCTTAAAGCTATGAAACGTATAAGACGTATAAAAAGTTAAATGTAATATAAAAAATTTATATAACTTTAACTTAACTATAATATGTGTTAAAATAAATTTCATTAAATCAATGAAATACTTATATATTTTAGTAGAAAACACGTAATAACTCCAATAGCAGAGTATAATAATATTGAATAACTATTTAAATATTATTGAAAAAGTAAAAACAATTTGTAAATTGATTTACAGCGCGATTGGGCGGAAGGCTATCAGTTAGCGAATGCCATGAATTTCCGATTCCCTCAATTCAGTCCAATGCCTTTGGACTCAATTGTGTCCAACAGTCACGCCGACGGTATTGTCCTCTTAGAAGATATGCTTCGTTGGAATCCATCCCGTCGTCCAAATGCAGTCCAGTCTCTCAAATACAACTATTTTAAAGTAAACCAAAAACTGG